GATGTTCTTTCATCCTGCATGCAGTGACAGAGGAGGAGCTGTTTGTGCATCGGGGCCTCAGATCCATACAGAGATCAGTTCTAGGGAGCATGCGGGCCCAGAGACAGAAAGTGGGGAGGGAGGATGTAATTCTGGCACCTGGGAGAAACATTCGGGACAACGACTCATCCCCTTGAGAGATCCAGCGGTCTGGGGCAGCTCTTTTCTTACTACAACCAACCAGATCTCCCAGCTCACACAAGGTCTGGGGATGGAGACGCTCTGCAGCGCCCCAGTGGGCCTGGGGCGAGGGTGCAGCATTGTCACCAGAGGCCAAACAGAAAGTTTGGAAAGTAGAGTCTGATGGAAAGGACAGCCTGGTCCCTCTGTCTTTTCTGCCGAAGTCCTCAACAACATTTGATGTTTTGGGTCCCTATTCCGGGCACACGTTTTGGTAAAAGCTAAGCTATGATTGGGATAATAATGAATAATGTTGTTCCAGAAACAGCAAGACCAACAAACCTGAAGGATTTGAAGGGTTATTTTTCTATCCCACTGGTCGCTGTCCCTGATGGTTCATCCAAGCTTGGTTGCCTCATCTCTGCCCACAGCCTCCATGTGTCTGATGTTAAAAACACGTGTGTGTGTGTGTGTGTGTGTGTGTGTGTGTGTGTGTGTGTGGTGGGGTGGGGGTGGGGGTTCACCATCAAATTGCTCTGCTAGTGCAGTAGTGGTTTTTGAAAGCACCCGAGTGAAAGAACTTCCCAGACAAGAGGCTCGCTCAGGCAGCGCACGGTTCTCGCGTCCCCAGTGAGCCCGTGGCAACCGGCGCTGTTGGGAGAGTTCAGGTCCTTAAAATGTGTATAAAACCAGCACCAGCCATCCTGGGAATCCAGACTATTGTCCAAGAAGCCACCTTAATTTCCTGACGTTGCTTGATTGGGCAGAAAGTTCTGTCCTGTTACATTTAGAAATATTTGCAGCCCACTTTTCAAAAATATGAATTATAAAAATGAGAGAGTATGTAAAATTTTTATTTAAAGCCGTGAAGTTTCCTTTCTACCCAAACAATTTTTTTTTCCAGTTTGAAATCCCCAAACTTTTTACTGATGATTCATAAACAGCTGGAGTCAGGAATAAGAGTTTCCAAAGGCACCACCCCCATGGGTCAGCATCACAGGGACAGTGAAAGTACCCCCTGCCTGGATCTTGGAAGTCATGTTTCCTCTTCCTCTTCCTACCCTACAACCTTTTAATTTTCCTGTTCAGAATGATTTTCTGGAAGTATTCCAGTGTGCAGCACCATCAGCATCTACGATTTTTTTCTCTCTAACCAGCAGGATCACCTGCTATGTGTATGTGGTAGATCCGTGCATAGAGTGCTTTCTGATTTACAGTGTATCTTCACATACATTACCCCATTTAATTTTCATACCCCCCCTCCCCAGGAAAGGTGTGATTCTTCTTATTTTACAGGGTCAGAGAAGTAAAGCAATTTGAGATCACTAATGAGAAGTGGAGAACCAGAAGGACCAGATTGTTTGGGCTGCAACCTCGGGGGGGGGGGGGGGCTCTTCACCCTACCCTGGGCTCCCTGTTAATTACATGACACTTCAGCCCTCCATGTCCACGGCACACAGGCTTTGAGTACTTGCCTAATTTTGACCCAGAATGTAGGATTCCTTGTTTTTCCCCAAGACGGTCTTCATTTAGGGGACAGAACTGATTGAAGGTTGTCAAAATAGCGGTTACCACCTCAAAGGAAACTTGTTACCACTTTTATGGAATCAATTCCAACAATACAGAGAAATTCTTTAGTGTGTGAAATATTGGAATCAACTGTTTGGGGGAGAGGGGGAGGACGCTTTGTTCCTTTTTTTTGGTGATACCGTGCGATGGTTTTCCCAGGGGTGGGCCAGTAGTGTCCCTGTTATGCTCCCATTCCTCTCCTGGCTGCAGTTTGAATAGGTAGCTTTAGTTCATTTGGGATGATTTTTCTGTGTTTGTATGGAATGCAGTGTGTGTGTGTGTGTGTGTGTGTGTGTGTGTGTGTGTGTGTGTGTATGCGCGCGTGGGTGTGGGTGCATGCCATTTTTAGGGCCATGTTAAGAGATTAAAATAAAAGAGAATGGAATGATGGTTCTTTCTCTTCTTGCCTCTACCTGGAAGGCATCTGGGTTTGCTGTGCACACACTGTAAGTGCACATGTGCATGTGTGTGTGTGTCTACGGCTTAGTGCTCCCCTTCTGTCCTCTACAGAAGTAACAATAAAACATGTTACCATTCATAGGGGCATAAAGTCAGCCAGGGTGTGCTCTGTGCTCAAACTTCCTATTTTCTTTCCTTTTTTTAATGTTTATTTTTTTATCTTTAAGAGAGAGAGAGAGCGAGCAGAGGAAGTGCAGAGAGAGGGGGGACAGGGGTTCCTAAGCGGGCTCTGTGCTGACGGCAGAGAGCCTGACGCGGGGCTCGAACTCACAAACCGTGACATCATGACCTGAGCCAAAGTCTGATGCTCAACTGACTGAGCCACCCAGGCGCCCCCTTCCTCCCTATTTTCATGGTAAAATAGATAATACCAAGCAGCAGATTTGCATTGCTGTGTGCTGCCTCCACGAGTCTGTTTTAATCCACTAAGTAGTCTGGTCACACAAATACACACAGAAAAAGCGAAATTATCCCTGTTTGTTGTTACTGTTTTTTTTTCAATGGTATCATTTGAGTAACACCTCTATTTGTTGTATATCTCCTGTCTTTGTGCTTCTATAGCTTTCTTAAATTATTCTTTTTATTTTCCAGAATTCAAATAGTATGATTTTAAAGGGTTAAATATACCAGACACTTGAAACTGAACACATTTATAAACCCACCAAGGGCTAAAAACTGGTAGAATTAACTGTTACCTAAAAGCATCTCTCTGCTAATAGTTTGTATGGTTTGAGAGAATCTAAACTTGGCCACCTCTAAGAACCATTTCTGTTTGACATTTGCTCACTTTAAACGTTTCCCTGTCTAACCCCCTCCATGTACAGGGTACAACACGCGGACAGAGTTACCTCCTGCCTTGGGAGTTTTAATTTCTTCTCTCTGCTCTCTGTTCCCTCTTCCTCAAGCGCCCCTATCCACCCTCAAGGATTGTACCTGTTGATACCCACTGCATCGTCTAAGACTGAACTTAAATCCACGTGTTGTCACTGTGCAGTCGCTGGTCCTACACACAAATGTCAATCACGCCCTCGTCTGCGCGCCTTTGTGTTTGGAACTCTTTTCCAGTGTATTCCACTGGATGGCAGTTGTATACACCCATTCTCCATCAACCCACAAGAAAGAAAGGTCGTTAAGGGCAGAAAGACCTCTCCGTGGTCCTCTCCCATGCCCCACACTAAGAGCATCAAAGGTATGTAGAGAGGAAATCTGGGGAAAACCAGCTTTTGTATTTTTAAATTCCACCCACTTAAAAGACTTTTTCTCCATGAAACGCTCCTTAGTCCCCACAAAATGAAAGTTATATCCTCCTCTGAAAGGTACAACTATGGCACATATTATATTATATGTGCATTAATATTAGTAAGCTCTATATACTTCCTTGTTATCTCCTCTTCCAAAACATAAGTCCGTGGATGAAGTATTCACATCCTTCACAGGGCCCTGTATCTATTACAGCATAGATATAGACTTGCGGAATTTTTATAATTTTAAAATATTTCAAAGTGGCAAAATATAACCAAATTTAGAATCAAACATATTCTATTAAATATAATCAAATTAAAAAAATATATTTCTCTTATTGGGGAAAGATGGATCAATATTGGCCAACAATGGTCTTCAGCTCTTGGGTTTCCTTCAAATATCATCAATTTATAATTTTTTAAGTGATCCTTTCAGCTTTGGATTTATATGAAACGACAATTTGTCTTCAGATTCTTGCACATCAGTTCCTTCAGAGTATAAAATTTAGAATCAAATTTACGTATTGGATATCTACAAAACATGTTTTAAAGCAACCCTATTTCAAACTGTAATTTTTTCATGGTATAAAAGTATAGCAAATAAATAGCTTGATATTTTCAGCATTACGTTGGAAATAATGGACTGACTAGAATAAATTCTGAGTGAAATAGGGCGGATACTAGTATTTGTGCAGTCAGCTTAAATCTCTCTCTCTCACACACACATATACATAAGACCCACTGAGATTCACTTTTAAATTCAATCCCTCTAATGAGTGATACGGTAGAGGTCTTTTCCAGCCTACCGAGAACACAATTAAAATAAAAAAGAGAAAGGCCGATCAAAGCCTTATCTGGAAGAGATCACAATTTATCTAACAGAAAATTGCACAAATGGACAAAGACATAAGTAATTCGCTGTAAACTAGGCGCCCAACCATTTGCTAAAAAGCAGCAACTTTACAAAAGTTGGCCCGTTTTACGTCCTTCCTTTGGTGGTTTACTTACCTAAGTAGAAAAACAATCTCATTATAAGTTGCCCTCTCCTATAAAACGGGTCAGCAACATGGACCCTAGGCAGGGTGTTACATGTTCCTGTCTTGTAGTTGTGTGTCTTTGGTAATGAGGTTTCCGGCTGCTTGATTTCATAAGGATCTCTAAAAGGAAACCTAGGGACAAGCCAGCTTGCAAATCATAAAATGTGTGGAAACAGACGTCTGAAAAGAGCACATACAAGACCATACGCTAGGCTTTTCCGCAGTAAAATCAGCAGAATAGAAATGTGGGCACTAAAGGCAGAGGCCCACTCACCTGCTAGGTATGCATGGCCAAGGGAACCCAAGGGACACGAGCATGTGGCCCCAGACACCATGCACACGGTCAGGCTATTGCAACCGGCTGGATTTTTGCCCTCCTCTTCGGTCGTGTCCCAGGGGAGCAAAACCTCAAACCTCAGCTGTAGCCAACCAACATTTTGTTTTGTTTTGTTTTAAACAGATGTGTGCGGAGACAATGGCAAATTTAAGCACAAAAAGACCTATTTAGGTAAAACAAAGCGTTCTTCTTCCTTACTTTTCACCGTGAGGTACATGGACTTGCTGACGTCTGCACCCACATCGTTGCTGACCTTGCACAGGTAGTAGCCGCTGTCTTCCTCTACGACGTGCTTGATCAACAAGGACCCGTTGCTCAGAACCTGAATTCGGCCATTCAGGGCAATTGGTTGGAACTGGGGAACCCCAGCACCTGGAGTAGAACAAGAAGGAGGAAGAATGATGCCAACAGAAACACACAAGGGGAGACAGTGAGTTCGAATTCACGCAACTTAGTACAGAGAAGTGAGGGGTATTTAACATCTAGAGGGCAGTCATGGGATATGCGGAACTTTTTCCCCCCCAACATGTAAATTCTTGTTTGGAGAGAAGCACATTTATTTAAAATGACACTGCTTCAGACTCTGAGATAGAGAGTAAGAGACTGTTACAGGTCGTTTCTACACAAAAAGCCAAATTTGATGAGTGTTAAGTAGCTGATAAATTATTCAAAGACATCACAGTGGAACAGCACAGGAGTAGACGCCTCTCCTGAGACTAAATAGAAGCCTTGTGTTCCCAGGGAATTACTATGAATGTAAACAAGGAATGTTCCAGGGACAGGGCATTTGAAGACTTTGCTTGCGGTGAGTCTACAAAGAGAATACAAGTATCACAGGTTTCTCTTCTAAGCACAGTCACGCTGCAGTCTAGACACACGTGCATGTTACTATCACTTAATGTCATTTAAATAAATAAGTCAGATGGTGCCAGTAAGACAGCACAGAATTAAAACACCTCTCTCCTCAGAGTATGGCGTTCAAGGAGAAAATGCCACCGATGACATGTGCCGTGGACAGAGATGTGATATGACTCATATGGAAGATCCTTACGAAACTGTTCTGAAAAAAAAAAATAACTTTTAGAAATAATAAAAAGCAGGACCAAGGGTGGTCTAGGGAGGTTTCCGGGAAGACGGCGGTTTGGACTACCCTGCTATGTTGCTTATCCCTGTGCAGGGGGCCCTGGGTGAGACTGGGAGAGTGTGATCTAAGCCTTGATAAGCTGGTAGAGCTTCCCTACTGTGTGACCTGAGTCTGAGGATTTGGGGAGAGGACCCAGCGGTGAGGACCAATTCCATCTTCCTGGAGAAAGCCCACAGCGTGAGCCCCATGCTGCTCTCCATGGCCCCAGATCCTTCGTGGGAGCTGAACATGCACACTGTTGCACTGTCACCATACCCCACCTGCAGGGAACTTCAGGCTTTGCATCTGGGGACACGAGAAGGGACACACTTTCTCATGCTATCTCTGTGCCAAACTGATCACTTATCTATTGGTACTCCTTAGCTCACAGTGGCAGAGACCGTGGCTGTGCCCTCCCTTCCCTCATGTCTAGATCAGGTGACCCAGCCCCACCAAAGAGACCAGGGAAATTCATAATGTACCGAGGGGACATTTCACACCGAACAAGAAGGACAAGCAGAATCCCGACAACAGGTGGCTGCTACCAACACAGAACTGCCACAGAGGACATATGAAGACTTCAATTAAAAGAACAGATTTCCATTTCTGCTGATGATGGAGAGAGACACAAAGGAATGTCGCTTCCATTCTAACAACAAAAAAGAGAGGTTGTTTATCTACAAAATCATACTGTTCTCTGAGTCGCTTAGAAAGTCGAAGTCACAGACAACTAAGTGAAATTACTTACAAAAAGTTAGAAGCCCCACAAGGAGATAAATAATCCCATCTCTGGCAGAGGATGGGGGGACCAGGACCTCGGCATAAAAGCAGATAACAAGGACTGGAAGTAAGTATAACCTCCCGCAATCTCTACTTTTCTTTCCTTTTATGCACCAGAGCCATACTCAATAAAATATTACGAGACACACAAAAAAGCAAGAAAAAAGGACCGGAAAAAAAAATATCGACATAACTATGGTAGGGGAGCTCTTCCACAGGGACTTTACAATAATTATGATTAATATCCATAAACGGGGGGGGGGGCGGGTTCAGAAGCAATATTAAAACCATTAAACTATAAGAAAGACAAAATGATAAAAACAAATACCACAATGTAAGAGATGAATAAATCTTTAAACAAGCTACTCAGCAGGTTAGACAGAGGAAAAAAATTAGTGAATTTAAACCTAGGTCAGTGGAAAACATCCAAAGTTAAAAAAAAAAAAAGTGCGAAAGTGGAAAATATGAAATAGGTTATCCTGGAATTCTGAAATTACATCAAATATTCTAACACTGAAAATTATAGTCTCAAAAGGAAAAGAAAGGGGGGGGGCAGAGGAAATGAGATTTGAAATATGGAAGACTTTAATACCACTATTAATCAATTTGACTTAACTGACATTTACAGAACTCTGCACCCTAAATAGCAGAATACATACTGATTTTGAGGGCACATTTGACACTTAATAAAAGGGACAATATTGTTAGCCATAATACAAATTTCAGTAGATGTTATAAGATAAAAATAATACATGTTATGTTCTATTCCCACAGCAAAACGAAAATTGAAAACAATAACACAAATACATCTGAAAAAAAACCCCAAATATTTGAAAAGTAAATGATACATGTCTAAATAACTCACGAGTCAAAGAAGAAATCACCAGAGTAATAAGAATATATACATATGAATATAAAAACACCATATCATTATTTGTGAGATACAGATAAAAGCAAAACTTAGAAGTGTGTGGCATTAAATTACTGTATTAGAAAAGGAAGAAGGTCACCAATCAACTATCTAAGCACCCACCTTAAGAAGCTACTCTAAGAAGGGCAAGAAAAACCCAAAGTATGAAGAAGGAAGGAAATAATAAGGAGGAAAACTCAGATCAGTGAAATACAAAACAGAAAAACAACAGATAAAAAAAAAATCAGTAAAAACAAAAGCTAGCTCTTTGGAAAAAAACATAGTAGGTGAGCCTCTAGGACTGATGTAGAAGACAGAAGACACAAGTTACAAATAACCATAAAAAGATAACCATCACTGTAGCCTCTACTTTAATTAAAAGCATAATAGCAAAATATTAGGAATAACTTTGTGCCAATGAATTTGACAACTTAGATCAAATAGATACATTTCTTGAAAGACACAAACTATCAAGGATCGCTCAAGAAAAAGGAGGTAGATCTAATAGTCATATCTATAAATAAATTTAATTTATAGTTAAAAACCTTCCACAAATAACACCCAAAACCCAGGAAGCTTCACTAGTAAATATTACCTATAATTAAAGAAGAAATAAAACCAATTTTACACAGAATTATCCTGATACCAAAGTCAGACAAGAATCTTAAGAGAAAAGAGAACTAGAGACCAATATCCCTAATGGACACGGACATAAAAATCCTTAACCAAACATTACCAAATCAGGTATATCAACATACAAACAACAATGTATTATGACCAAGTGAGATTTACTCCAGGAATGCAAGGTTGGTTTAAATTCAGGAATTAGCCAATGAAAGAAACTCACTACTTCAACATACAAAAACAGAAATAGAGTGAGTAGATACAAAAAAAAATGTTTTTCACAGAATTCAACATCCTGATAAAATCTCATAGCAAACCAGGAAGACAATGAACTAACCTGATAAAGGTTTCTCCAAAAAAAACTATAAGTCATACTTAATAAAAAAGAACTTACAAAAAAGTTGCTAGAAACATAGTGAGTTTAGGGACGTCATGGGATACATCGATGTACACAACTCAAAGTTAATTTTGTTTATAAATGTATTAGTAAAAAGCAATTGGAAATTGAAATTTAAAAAAATGATACATTTGCATCAAAACATGAAATGCTAAGAAATTCATTAAATAAGATATGTGCAAGACTTGCTCACTGAAAACTATAAAAGTTCTTGCTGACAATTAATGAAGACCGAAAGAAATGTTCATGGATCAAAATTCTCAATTTTTTCAGACAATACTAGGAAATCTTCCAAAAGGGCCAAATAATAAATGTTGTAGGCTTTGCAGGCCACACTGTTATATGACTACATACTTCCGCCAATGAGGCACAAAAGTAGCCAGAGAAAATACCCAAACAAAGCAGCCTGTGTTCTAATAGCATCCAATGGAAAGACTGGGTGTGGGTAGGATCTGACTCATGTCCCATACGTGGCTGACATCGGGTTTATAAGAAGCCCACATCTGTAAGATCACTACAAAGTTGGAAGGAGGAGCATATACAAATAATACACATTTGGGTTAGTATTTTATCACACATCTGATGCATGAAATATCATGACGTAATTTTAGGTAGAATTTTTAAAAAATATGTCTCATTCATAAAGCATTCAAAATCAAGGATGGAAAGTTTTAAAGATGTAAAGTAACAGCACTTTTCTTTCATAATTGCAACATGTTGCTGTCTCCAGTATCAGCTTCGGAATACTTTCTAAAGTGAGACAAAATGAAGAAAAACATTCTGACCCCTAATCTGTTTGCTCTCGGGGAATAGAGAAATCATCAAAATGTAAAAAATGCAAACTTAGAAACATGTGTAATGTGGATCATTAGAAACCTAATTCACATGAAATTCACAAAGGATTTTTAACAAGTGTTTGATGAATTATGAACATGCCAGTAAATGAGTGATTGGTTTTGAAAAGTAATTAATGAAAGGTATCTGTTAGTTTACTTATTATAGTATAAAACATGAGAATCCCAGATTAGGGATCTGAGAATTTTGGGCCCCAAATTCAAACAGTAAGTAAGTAAATGCCCTCTTTTTCTTCTCAAGACCCCAATCTCATAATTTTCCCTTCCTAATATTTTATAAGTGAATATAAAGATGTGCTCTATTTTTACATAAATGGGATTTATTGTTTGATTACTGAGCACCCACTGTGGGGCAGATACTGGGCATGTAGCTATGATCACAAAGGATTGTGGCTCTCTTTGTTCTTTTTTTTAACGTTAAAAAAATTTTTTTAAGTTTATTTATTTTTGACACAGAGAGAGAGAATGCGAGTGTGAGCTAGGGAGGGGAAGAGAGAGAGGGAGACACAGAATCCGAAGCAGGCTCCAGGCTCTGAGCTGTCAGCACAGAGCCTGACATGGGGCTTGAACTCACGAACCGTGAGATCACGGCCTGTGCTGAAGTCGGATGCTTACCTGACTGAGCCACCCAGGTGCCCCAACATTTTTTTAA